TTCCCTGCTGAGAGCCCGCTGGGCCGCGGCGGGTCTCGGTCTGGCTGGCGAAAGGGGGCCGAAGGGCCGCGGCAGGCTCTACCTTCTGCCGCGGTGGCGGCAAGGTCCTCTGAGGGGGTTGCGTTTCGGTGGAAGAAGAGATTTTTTCCTCCTATGCACATTGACTGGCTTATCCAGGCTGCTTTGAGCTTTAGATGGACGGTGTTTTAAGAGCAAGCCAATACAGCATAAAGAAGGACTTACCTGGAAGTTTTGGGCCTGTGTCACTGACTTCCCCTCAGGTTTGAGTTGTTGGTTGGAAATCCTAGCTCCTGACTTCCACCTCAGAAGCAGCTTGCTCGGAGCTTTTGGGCTCCGAAGTGAAACTGGAGTCCTTGGGAGTTGTGGGTCTTAAGGAAGTGACCAGCGCTGATTGTCCGTCGCCTGGTTCTCGCAGATTTGACCCTACAAGATCTGGCCCTGCATCTTTTGTCACAGAAGGTTTGAAGGGTGCTGATTCTCTTTGCTGCAGGATGCTTGTTTTTGTGCTCCTGTGCTTTTAAATGTGCAGATTTGTACCCAAATTGCATTCCAACCTCTCTGATGGGGTTTGGGGGGGGGTGCTATTCCTCTTCCCCATGCCCTCCACAGCAGCACCAGCACCAACTGGTGCAGAACGTCCTAGTTGGCTGTGTGGTGGCAGCTGCGCTGCGCTGCCCTCCACTCGACTGGGGCTTGGCTCCCTCTCCGAGCAGCACAAATCAGCTGCCCCTTGCAAAAGGGATCCCAGCACCCGCCAGCGTTGAGCCCGGCACAGATGCAAGTGCTGCAGCGCTGGAGCAGCCAAGCTCTCATCCAGTATGTTGCTTAAGCGAGTCATCACGTTAGTACTAACCTGAGGGCTCTTCTAGGACCTTTTCCTTGTGTTAAACCCCAGGGTATGTCTGTAGCAGGAGTTTTCTCATTGTGTTGCAACAGAGCAGTTTGCCATTCAAGTAGGTGAAGCTGTTAAGCATAGGTTTAAGTCTCACTGACTTGCAGGGGCCTAGCAAAGCTAAGCAGCCGCTGAAGCACTCTGCTGAGCCAGGGCCCTCAAGACTCTGCTCCCCTCTAGATCGGGGGGGTGGGTGCAGAGGAGGTTGTGAATTAACTTAATAATTCCACTCATTTTATCCCTGCAACATAGTGGGTCTGCTTTAAAGCGACCTGCTGTTTTCCTGAGGGAGAAGTGTCATTGAGATTTGTAGTTTGAACGCTGCAGTGGCCAGGAAGCAACTGACGGCTTCCATTCTGTTTATTTTTAAAGAGATTTCACTAAATCTGAGTTTTTGTCAGTAATAGCTTGCATTACAATTTTATTTTTCTTGCATGTCACCCCCCAGAGAAATGCATTACGTGTCTCTTACCCTGGAGAAACGCTATAAATGTTTTTCACGTGTCTCCTTACCCATCTGACCTATCAGACTTACTTTTGCTTACTCATTTAGAAAGTTATAGTTCTGTGCAGATTGTGGATAGCTCCGAGGAAGGATGATGTTTGGGAAGTCCCTGCTCTGTTGAGAATAGTTTATTTTATGATTAAGTTGCTCATGAGTTACGTTTTGTATGGTAAAACTTCTGGTAGGTAAAACTTCTCTCTTGTACTTGTTCCACCTGTGTGCAGAGCTCAAGGGATGAGACTGCTGTGGAGGTAGAAATCTCTTTGAGACATTGCTGGGGTGCAGGACTTGGCTTTGGGTACCAGATTTTCTTATTTCTGAATATCTGGGCAGCTTTTCAGTTAGTAATGCATGCAGTGGTTTGCCATTAACTCTCAGATCTGCTGGCTAAGAATTTAGGTGGCTGTTGATATCATAGGTAAGTAACAGTGGAACCGAATCAGCAGCATTTGAGCTGAATAGTGTCAGGGCATATGTGATGTCCCGGGTGCACGTGAGGCTCTCGCAACCCAGACACAAAACAAACATTCCTTCCACCCTTCTGCCAGCGGGAGTAAGGTGTTTGTGACTCATCACATTCCAGCCTGTTTGCTGTGATTTTATGAGCGCGGAGAGAAGAAAGGCACTTCTATTTATCAGTGTTTCCAGTTCCTGCAGCCCTCTTCCAAGAGCTAGTTGCTAGTCAAGGCAGCCCAACAGTTTCTCCGGTAGACTCTTGCCAGGGTAATTGTGGATGTGACGCTCCCGAGCCACAGCTTGATTTCTTCTCTCTGTGGTGTGGACCTGTCCCGCTTGAGCTACGTGATGAGACAGATGTCTGTGTTCCACTGAGCTTTCCAAGCATGAAGTGCGCAGCCAGCTCTGAGCCTGGAGGTGGATCGGCAGACCTGAGAGGACTCCTGATAGAAATAGCCTCTGGGGAAGACACTGTTGAGAACATGCCTCCTTCTGGGGGTTTGCTCGTCCCCTCTTGCCTGCCCTGGCATTGCCAGCATGGGTGGTTAGGTATCTCCTTGCTGTCCTTGTGGGATGCTGCTGGCAGCCTTGCAGCTCGTCGTCCCCTTGCAGGGGAGCAGATGCCTCAGTGCTGCTGGTGGCCCCAGCGCCCCTTCTGGGAGGCAGCGGTTCGTCTCACCAGGTCTGTCTGCCAGGGCTTGGCTATGCTTCTATTTCATATGAGTTTGCTTGCACTGTCCCGAGAAAAGAGTGACGTGAGTCCAAGGGCAGCTGGGACAAGGTCCCATTGACACGAGAGTGTGAAGATGCAGCGATGATGGACTGCAGAGAAGTAGGGAGAGCTGCACCTGATCCCCTTTCTGTGCACATCCCACGCAGGTTGGCCTGATGTTGCTGTCCTGTTGTATGGCAGGGGAGAGGAGAGGCAGTGTGTTTCTTTACAGGGCCATAGGCTGTCCATGTTCAAGAGCAAGCTTCTGTGCCAAGCGCTTGTGACAGTAATGAGGAAAGCCCATGAGGGAGGTGAGCATAGCACCTTCTCCAAGCTGAATGAGAAAGGCACCCGCCTGTGTTCCCAGGTCCTGTCCTCTCCAGCCCCATTGCTAGATGACAGCGGGATGCAGATGTAAGGCACAAAGGCTAGGACAGCCTCTGTTCAGCAGATGCTTTGCCCTTTCATAAGTTTAATCTGCAGTGAAAGCGAGTGAACCTCCAGTGTAGCCTCAGCCGTGTGACTGCAGTGAGAAGATGTGCTGGTTTGTGCGTAGCTGTGTCCAGGGTGCTACCGTTGGCCAGGAACTGGCCATCACACATTCCCCCTGCCTGAGTTTGGCCACAATACTAAAAATGTTAAATTACTCACAGCTGGTTCAGTGAAAGTGTACGGATGAACTGACGGAAAGTTGGATGGTGTTTCTGTGGTTAGACAGGAGCTGAGTTCATTGAGTGACCAGTCGATGGCTGGGCCATGGCAGGCTTTCTATTAACACAGACGCGTTCATGCCAGCTTAGCTGGTAACTAGAAAAGCCTTTATGGGATTCATCCAGAACGCCCTTCCAGCCTGCTTGTGGGGACACAACCTGGTAACACGGTATATACCGTGTTTCCGCTCCAAGAGTGGTCCCAGGTTGCCTTTTGCTTTAACCTGGCCTGGCACCAGCTAAAATTATGCAGAACTTTGGATTGACTTACGATTTAAAAAAAAGACACACCCCTGTGCCAGAGCTGGTCTGACTTCTTCCTCCTTGGCTGGAGTAGCTCGGATCGTGCCTTGCACAGCAAGGTAAGAGAGGCACGATGGTTGCTTATTGGTGTTTGTGTTAAAGCAGAAACCCAGGCTGAAAATAGGTGTAGGGAGCAGCAAGGGGTGGCAAGGCTGGTTCAGATGGTGCCTTGTGAGCAGGCAGCTGGTGGAGACCTGGGAAGAAGCTAAAAGCTTGTTCTGTCGCTTCGGTCCAGCCTGGCACGTGTCCTGAGCTGAAGGGGGAGACCCGGCCCGCCTGGGTGCACAGGGCAGCCGGGCTGGGGCCGCCGTGCCGGTTCCCTCCTCCCGGCCGCATCCTGGGCCTTGGGGATCCGCGTGCTCCCTGCTGCCAGGGCAGGGGCTGAGGCGCGTTGCTGAGCTCGCGCAGCCGGCGTTCAGGCGTTCCTGCTCAGTAGCCGACGGCAGCTCTCGGCACGGCCTGAGCCGCGGCGACTTGCTCCCCGCATCCGGGGAAGGGTGGCGTTTTGGCGCACCTGGAGATTCCCTGAAAGGCCTTCATCCTGCAGGCGAGGGGTGGGGAGCCGCACAGGCCGGGACGGCTGCAGGTGGCCAGGCGAGCGTGAGTGATCCGGGGATGGATCCAGCCCTCCTGAGGCCCCGTGGAGGGCTCTAGTGCGGTGCCTCTTCGCTGAGCGTCCAGGGAGGAGAGCAGCTCCGTAATGGATGCTCCCATCTGGATCTTGAGACAGCCAGGCTCCTCGGGCTCCGTCACAGGCATTTTGGGTGACTTTGGACAAAACCCTTGGGCTGCCGAGGGACAGAGCCATCGTTGTCCAGGTGCTGCGAGGTGCTCGGGGGCTGCAGCGATCTCCTGGGGCGAACCCACCCTGGCGTTGCTGGGAACCGCAGGGGCGCAGGCTCGTCCGCCCTGCAGCTGTCGGCGTTTGGCTCCCTCGGAAAGCTCCGGCAGGCTTTTGTCGAGTAGACATAACAATTTGCAGCACGCAGCCTGTCTCTTCCCGCTCGCCGAGCCCCCCTTTCCCCTCGCCTCCCCCGTGTCATATGTTCCAAAGCGCACTGCATTTTCAATAAGCGAATAACAACCACGTACTCCGCCGCGCAGTGTTTATATGTATTACGTAGCAAATTGCTTGCTCTGAGCCAGCTCGCTCGAGCGCTGCCTGCCCTCCCACGGGCTGAGCCGGGATGCACCGTGACTCAAGGAGCGCCGCGAGGAGCCAGCAC